TTTACATTAAATTTACGTTAAACTTGAAAGTTTACATTAAAAAAATTATACACTGTCAGAAAGAGTTTCGCTCAATTGCAGAAAACTTATATTGAAGTCGCCATCATGATGCAAACTCTGTTTCCGTTGCATAAAAGTATAATTCCAGCAATAATGCCATGAGGATATCAATCAAGCTATGCTTCCATAGGTCGAGGGCGAGGAACGAATACGTGTCGAAAGTCTCGTCTCTTCGATGCCGTGCACGCATTTCCTCGCGTCGATGACCTTTTTTCTTTTTCTCGGTATTCACGCGGGAAGTTCATCTCGACCCTCCGAGTTTTGTGCCATCGACCAATACAGCGTCAGCTCCGATGGAAGTTGCCGTTTTGGACTGACTCGGAACATGGCAACATGCTCCGTGTAGCTGATCGTGGTCACAAGTTCGGAGTCGGTAGAGGTGGTTAATCGCCCGGTAGTTGTTAGACAACCGACCGCAGCCGGTTCAGTAGTCGAGCAAACATCGAGACGCAATCATATTCCACCTAGCGGTTCTTCCACTCACGTGTTGTATATTATTGATCGTGAACGTTCGTTTGGCGAAACGACGCGAAGGATGGGAATATTTCGCGAATTTCCGATAGTTTTCAATCTCTATAAGAAGTACAGTTAGCTTTCGTCTATTTCCGAAATCGCGTCCATACGAATCTTCCTGGTGATTAGGAAATAGACGCCAAATCCTCCATTACGCTAACACCAAGGTGAGCGCTATGTGAAATTTATATAAAAATATTTATATGAGAAATATAAAGACTTTAGTTTTAATAGAATTTCCGCTCTATCTAATTTGAAAATGTTGCTCCAATGAATTGCGCCAATTCAAGCGAGGTCAATCGAAATCATCTTTCATGCGAGGAATGCATTGCAGATAGATGTCTGTTTATAACATGTTCTGATTTTTAATTTATGAATGTGATATAACGAGTATTTGTTTGCAGTACATTAATAATTAATTCAGTGTAATACAGTATAAGACATTAAAAGTATTATGTATATATAAATATATTTTTTCATGATTATTATTTAAATTATTAACTTCGAAAGAAATTATTTGTGTGAATTATTTTATTATAATTTGATTTAAAACTCAGTAATACTTTTAGTTATTTAATATATAATTTAATTTATAAAACAATTTAATCAAATTTTTGAATGAGACAAATTTGTAGATTCAATTACAATAAGTACGAATCTATAGTTTGTACTAAAAATTTTTGAACATTGATAAAAAAGTAATTTTAGTCGATTTATTCTTAATGTAGTTTAATTTAAACGACTTGGCCTTCAATTAGTGGTCAATGTTTAAGTTTAAACTATGCTCTACATTATTTACATACAATTTTAATACATATACATTATTTTAAATATTATCGCTTATTTAAAGTATAATTTGCAAAAAATATGTATTTTAACGCTCTCATTGCTCGTATATTCTATTGTTATTTTTAATTTCGAGAGCCTTATTAATATTGAAATTTTACTTTTTATAATTTGCAAGTTTCAAGTTTAAGATATAGTTTAGTTTTAAAAGGCTTCAAAAGCAGTTTATCAAATAGTTTCAAGAAAAAAAAATTGTAGTCAAGCAAGCTATCATGTATATTTCTCGTAATTGCTAATCGTGCTATTTTATTATTGCTTATTTAAAATATATTTTAAAACATGATTTAAAAAATACAATTTATTTTAACTAATTCGTTTTTAACAAATAACATTTTTTTAGATAGCATTTATAATTTTTTTTATTAATTTAATATGGACCATTTGTAACCGCGGATCTTTAGCTTCGCGAAATGATTTATTTATGTGAAAAAGTTTCGACATAGTGAATCCCGATAGTCTATCCGACTAAATTATTCAACTTTATAATACTCCTAATCCACTTTACTATCAAGCAAAGAGAAGATACTCCGCATTTATTAACATTCTTAACTATAGCTTCATGAAAATATAAATACTTTAGAGTTGTGTAGTTGTAACAGAATTCATCCGAGGACAATCCTATATATATTTTTAAATATTTCTTGCTCTTCAATAGTGAAAAATATAAAGATAATATTTTAGCAATTTAACAAATTTAATTTTAATAATTACCTATATTAAAAAATATTTCTCTTGTAAAAATTTATGGTTCATAATAAATGATTTGAAGATAAATTTTGGTTAACTACGTAGAAAGTGTCTAAAAATTTACCTACAGATATAAAAATAATAATGTTATGAACCGTCAAGATAATTTAAATAATTATGTCATATATAAACACATTGTCGATAATGTTAAAAGCTTTTACATTTTAGCAATCAGTTTGAATATCCTATATACATAATTATTTTGATAGTCCAACAAAATTGTTTTCAAATTTTTGTCCAACTAAATTTTTAGATACTTTAGCAAAACGTTCTTGTCGTGTAAGCTTAAAATACTAAACATTTTATAGTCCAGGATTGAAGGCTTTAAAAATAGTTTATCTAACAGTTTCAAGAAAAAATTTTTTAATCATACAAACGGTACATTTCTTGCGATCGCTAAGTCACGCAAAATTTTTGCGTCAAAGAATTAATCTCGGGTCGATAGGCTATCGAATCGTGACGCCTTTTTTTTAATTATACAACTTCGACAGTGCGAATGACGAGAATCTTTCAGTACTGGCCGAAACGCTCACTGATGACCTCCACTAAAAGTTGTCACCAAAGACAATCGGTAATCGATTAATTTTGCTGGTCAATCTCTATTTAATTTATGTTTCTATTCTGTAACTCTTAACGACAGTGTCAATGGAATCGTTACATTGTCATTTCACAGGTTTTACATATATGATAAAAAAGCTGCGCAACAATATATATATATATATATATATATGTGTGTGTGAGTGTGTATGTATATCAATACCGATATTGTTGTTAGGAGTTACAGTCACAGAATAGGAGTCTTATTCCTGTTTTGAAGAAATCGATTATTCATTCTTTTCTGCACTTATATAATTTTTTTTATATAGTCATCACTAAATACTTTATAAGTATAATACTTTATATAGTATATATTCGCTAATGCGCTTATCTTTTTCAGGTGATATTCCGAGTATATTCCCTGAGGGAAGAGTGCTTTACGTGAAGACAGAAAAACAGCATCGATCTCTGATCACAGATAGGTATTAAGCCTATTCTCCGAACATCGTGCTAAAATGTCACAGACGTCTGAGATCATGGAGCAGAAAGATGACCTAAAGAGGAAACCAACTCTCGTTAGACGAGTGTCCGACATGTTTAAGGGTAAATAAACAAAACGTTCAATATCTTTTTCTCAGTCCCAGTTCTTTTTTCCTCAATAGCATGGAACATTCCAGCAATACTGCTGGAATGTTCCACATTATCTGGGTTTGTACGTGCAGGAATCTTATGAATCGAATTATAATTTTAAAGACCCTTTTTAGATGTTTTTTTTTTAATGGGAGATATATTTAATCAATAATATCTCAGCGGTTTCACTCTTATCACAAAAAATTATGTAGTTGGAATATCATGTAATAAAAATGTTTTTGGTTCGTGAATGATAGTAACTACGTAATACCGCCCGTACTGATTAAATGTTCTTTTCTCTCCCAACGACAGATGGAAACTACAGCGGGCCACCGATGCTATTCCGACACGCGTCGATGCAGAAGATCCGCCATTGTTGCCAGAATCTCAACCTATTACCGTATCTTCTTTACTCTTTTGATAATTCCAAGTCGCATCCGCTAGCGCGCAAGGTGCACGTCTATCTCAGCCATTTTCTTCAGGAGATCACGATCAGTCTCCTGGTCACATACGAGAATTTGCGTCAATCTGTGCTGCATGAAATCCGCATCAAGAAACCAGCTGAAGTGCAAAAAGCAATTCCAGAAGCGAATAACAACTCTATTAAACTTGCCGCAAGGTTCAACAAATTTAAAAAGCCGAAGCGCAAGCACTCATGCTATCTAACTGCGGCCGTGTATTTCGTTCCGTTGCTGCTCGTCTTTCAGATGACGACCCTATGCAGTCTAACGATTTTTGGCAAATATACCCCTGGTTTCATCTTCCTGGTCACCTCGCTGCTCTTCCTCGGCGGTATCGCGCTTAAAATACTGTTACACGGAGCTATGTTGCACGGCATCAAGAATTGTGAGAGGAAAAGGGTGCAGTGATCTTCCGCCGTTTTCACTGTTGCTTCGTCATCTAAAGACAATAGAAGGAACAGAGAAGACTCCTTCGGAGTTTGCGTGTTTCGTCATGTTACACGGCATCAAATATTACTTTCTGTGCACAACCGACAGGACATTAACTTATGTTAACGCGTTCGCATTGATAAAATGCGAATAGCTTCTTCCATATTGACGTAACCCTTTCTTTTTCACATAACGTTTTCAATCATCGGTTTCATGTATGTATTCTTTCTTTTTTATATGTTGTTAAAATCATTAAACTATAATAGAATCGCGTAAATGTATAGAATACACTGTAAAGAAGACATTTTTATAAACTATATATAATAATGTATAAATGCAATAATATGTTTTTAAACAGAAGCATAATCTTGATTGTTCTCAAGCGTAATCTCGGAGGACTGCTTGCATTCTACGACTTCACGACGCAAGTATTGCGAGTGTCTTTATCCTCTGCAGCATAAGACTGAGAATTACTTTTTAATATATATATTTGTAAATAAACGTGCGAATGATATATGTATATATATATATATAACGCGAAAGGTGGATTTGTAACATTGTCTCTCGATTTGTTGTGTGGCAAGAAGAAACGGACCTTGATGTGTCCATTGAAAGTTATTCTAATCTGTGATGGTGTGGGTACAAGTGATATCTCACAGGCACTTGCAATACCACTTAATTACACATGATAAGAGTTATTTTATACAGATTTATGCCTTTAGCGATCATTATTATCGATATTGATTTTTATGGAAAATAAAAAACTGATAATACTTTCATTAACTTCACTGATTTATTTATACACGATTAAAGTTAACAAGATCAAATTACCATATAAAACAACTGGATGCAGAATGTAGTGCGATATTTCCGCGTTGTTAGAATACTCGCCGATTCCTGCAGCATATGCAATAACATGTGCAACGTAGTTCTGTTCATGCACGCTGTGGAAGAGATGGGCATACGGTCCTGTAAAGAAAACTCAAAGTATTTAACACTAGAAGTAAAGTCAATTTGTTTAAATCCGCAGAATATAAATTAATAGTAATACTACATCATTGTTACAATTTTCTACTAACAATCTAGCTATTATGTACAACACGTGTTATATTGCATTTGTATTAATCGTTAAGTGGAAAATTATAATAATATTGATGTGATGTTACTTGATGTTACTGTTACTTTGTGTTCTGCGCTTAATTCCGATAGGATAACATTTATGAAATTATATGACGAAACCTTTCATAAAATTTATAATCTGCAATATATTATACGAGTATATTTATAAAAAAACAAATGCAAAAACTCTGATCTTTTCTAAAACATTGATAACTGTTTGCACAATTAATTTCTACATAATTTCGACAAATCAATAATGATATGGTGAATTATCTTAGCGGTATATTTGCCAAATTAAATTTGGAAAGAAATTGTCCAATAATTTAAAAAAATGTTTTAGCCGTATTTTTTAACTGCAATCTTTGTCTTTCGTAATAATTAATTAAACGTTAGGGAGTTTTTGCAATAATATGAATCCAGATACGGTGAACGCGAAAGCCACGTTATCCTTTTCTTAATTAGTTGTTAAGAAGAAGATAACCTGACATTAGTATTCACCGTATTTGGATAAACAATATTGCTAAAACTTCTTGTTGACGTACCTATAGCGTATACAGCTACGTCTCCACCGCCGTGATAAGCCTCGTCCGATATGATTGTAGCTTGCTGGCTATAAGTAAAATCGCTAGTGTTCGATTTGGATGGATCGATTCTTTTGGCTTGACCGTCATCGCCCACGGTGTAAGCGATATTGTTCGGTCCACCTGTGCTATAGGATAACGTGGTGTACGGTATCCCGTCGTATTTAGATTTTCGAGCGATTCCTGAAATATTCTCACATGAGAATAAATGGTCCGAGAAAATTTCATACATACACTAAGAAAAAAGTATTTGATATTTGTGATTATAATTAAGTAGAGCTTCCTTGTATAATTACAATAATAGAAGCTCCGTTTTTATAATCAAGATAAAATAATGACTAACAGCTTCATTTTTGTAATTATTACTGCTATAATGTTAGTAAAAATAATTATATTTATAGAGTCCTGTATACAAAGAAAATGTCATTGGTAATAAAAAGATTATGTAATAAGTTATTAGGTTTCGCGGCCAATTTTTTTGGTATATAGAACTGTAAATATAATAATAATAATTATTATTAACATTAGCAGTAATAACAATAAAAACGGAGCTCTTAATCATTTTGGCATTCGTTGATTATAATTGTATAATGCAGTTATAATCACAAATACCAAACACTCTTCTTTCAGTGCATTGATCTTACCCAGAATGGATGAACCTCGAGGACTGTATCCGTTGAAGATCATTGACTGCGTATGATCGCTCGTGACTATTACGAGAGTGTCATCGGGGTCGATCATTCTAAGAGTGGCGTTAACGGCGTCCGAAAATCGGACAGTTTCTAACAATGCTTGAGCGGCATGACCACGATGATGAGCAAAGTCGATTAGACCACCTTCGACCTGGAAGAGCAGTCATATTAATTTCTTTCGTAACCTTATCTAAGATAATAATTGTACCATTAAAAAATATCCTTGTTTGGATTTTTGCAAAATTCGTAAAGCCATCACAGTCATTTTTTCCAAACTCGGTTGTCCCTTCGGACCTCGTTCTCGTTTCCAGTCCATCGGGATGTGACCGTTGGCGAAAATACCAAGCAGATAATCTACGTTATCGATATCAACCCGGGACAATTGTTCATTGTTTTGTACGACTTTATAAGCTAAGTTTCTATTAGACTTATCTCTCATCCATTCATCAATGAGATCACGACCGTCTTGCCTGTAGCAAGCCCACGTATCTATCGGATCAAATTCGCCCGCGCTCACGTTGGATTTCATCACCTGTCTACCACCGCCCATAATTACCTATAAAAGGTAAACGTATTATTTATCGTATTATTCTCGTAATTAAACAAGGTGCACAGCTCGTTCTTTGTTTACTCGAATATTTTTCCCCGGTTCATTCTCCACTAATTGTCTGGCGATATCTTTACAGCCAGTAGCATTTTTAGGCATTTTGGATTCGCACTCCCATCTACGATTTGCACAGTGAGCGTAAAGCGGCGCTGGAGTGGCATGAGTAACTCTGGTATTCGTCACGAAACCTGTATGTTAATTATGTTATGATTTATAAAAATATAAACTAGTAATTACAATTAAAACAAAAATACTTGAAACGGGAGTTTTACTTTAAATTTTTTGAAAGAATTATCAATCGACATATATATAGTTTAATATATGTATACACATAGTTTAATATATTTTACAAATTAATGCTAAAAAAAGATTAATGGCAAAAATTTAACAATAAAAAATATTTTAAATAATTATTTATGCGTAGGCAAAAGTCGGAATATAATTGTAATCGGACTCGACCTGTGGCTTTACCGGCTGTTTGAGCCCACGCTATGAACGAATCCACGTGATAATTCGCATTCAAGCTTGCCTCGCAATTATTCAATTCCACGTTCGCATCTACTCCTACAACTTCGTAATTCGTCTTGACTCCCCCGAAGAGAGCAGTAGCGGAGGAAGCTGAGTCGGGCACTTGCTGATTTGTAGTGTAAGTCTACATTATCGACAGAAGATACGTTCAAACACGCGAAGATCTTATATAAAATATATTAATTACAATACATGTCACGTCTAGTAAAAATCTCGAGACCTTCAGTATCCCAATATGGGGAAAATGCTCCCAGGCGAGTCGACTCGTCTCACCACCACGATAAATTCTGCTAGCCGTAATAGTGTCGGGACTCATCCCATCCCCCACAAAGAGAATGACATTTTTCGCCTTTTTTAGATTCCAATGGTACGAAAGAGATTCTTCCAGTTCTTTGTTCGCTAACTCATGCCAGTGTTGGCTGTCTGCGTTAGAAGTGATATACTCAATCTTCCTTATTTCACAGATATATTTGTTCAAACAGATGTGATAACATGTTAAAAATAAACATTAATCTACCGAAAAAGAAATTTCGCATTTTTACAAATAGAAGAAAAATCGACTATATAAAATGTTTGTCCTCCGTAAAATGTGCGGGAAAAATTTATTATTGAACTTTGTAATATTATTTTAAAACTATAGCATTTAAAACTATTACATGCGGTTTGAGTGTGATCGGTATGATTAAGTTTATGTCCTTGAACATGTACTATAAGAGAATGCATTATAAAATTTCATAATCTATTTTTTTAAGATTTTGTAATCTCCTCATTTATAACTGTGACGACATTTGTCAGAGAAGTATAATGATTAATTTATATTTAAATACCTTCGGTTGCAAATACATTTGTAATCTTGACAAAGCATGTGAAAAGATAAATAGCGAGATACATCATGTTTTTCACTATTGCCGAACTTTAATTATGTTAAAACTAACGAAGACACTGTGCAATATACACTAAATGATCTACAAATACGTCCTCTGTTGAAATATAGTAGGAAGCATGAATACAGAAGCTACCTCAAATGGTAACAATAGATCTTCCAGTATATAATAACTCGTAATAGCGAATGTAGTTAGACGCACTAGTGCGTACTAGTGTATATTAAAGCCGTTTGTACATTGATTTAATCTGAGTATAAAGTAAAATGCAAATATTTCGAATGGTAAAAGTCACTTCACCGCTCACTGAGCGCTATATAATCTTACGGCCCAAACACGGTATTAGAGAAATAATAAACAGTAATAAATAAGTAAGGAATATCATATTAAAGATTATCGATAATAGACAAGTTATTTTACATTACGAATTATAACAAATAAACATATTAATCATAGATTAATCCCTTTTTTACTCAGTGAGCGCTGTCATTGGTACTGAATGCATCCATTGTATCCAAAATCGACGTTATACAATCTTTTAATTTCATATTTAAAATAAGCATAAAATTTAGGTAATGAAATGTTCGTCAAATAATATATTAAAAAATTTTTTAATTGAATATAAAAATGGATTAATTAATTATTATATCATAAAAATGATTGTTGAACTAAAAGACTGCACTACATAAATATTGTAAAAAATTATTATATTTTTATATTATTATTATAATAACAATTAAAGAATTACAGTTTTGCAAGGTTTCTGAAATATTACAGGCATATTACTGATATCTTGCAGGTATATTGTTAATTTACATTTCTGTAATATCTCTGTAATGTTACATTGCAATCTGCAACATTGCAACATTGTAGCAATATTGCTGCAATTTTCTGTGCTGTATGGGCCCATTTATATAACTGTATTTCTCTCTATTTTATAATAATATTTTGTTGATATCCTACAATTCTTATTTGAAACGTATTTTCTATAATTTTCGAGATTTTTCAGGGTTTCCACACTTTTTCCCCTACCCAGTATTATTTAGGTACTATCTTCGAAATATTCGTTTAATACAACAATTCTCGAAATATGCATTAGGTTAAACTTCAGAAAAGCTACAACATCTACAATTTTAATGCAAATACATTTTTTCCATGTATTTTTGGCTCCTGAAAACAAATTTGACAATCAAATTTAGTCATACTTTGGCCGTCATTTTGAAAAAACTGCCAAAAAATCGATTTTTTTTCGCTTTTTTAATGCATATCTCAGAAAATATTGATTTCATAAAAAAAAGTTTCAAACAAAAAATGAAGCCCTTTAAACTCTCTACAAAAAAGTTTTTATGCATAATGTTCGTAAATTTAACGGTCATGGGTTAGAAATATTCCAAGTGGACACTGTCTAGGCTATAACTTCTAGACGGTTAGGCCCCAAGCGGGAAGTTTATGCTATTTTTTTTTGTTCGGGGCGGCGTAGCCGCCCAATAAGCACTATTGTCTATACATCCCACTGTTTACATAGGTTAGAAATATTCCAAGCGAACACAGTCTAAGCTCTACTGTCTATACACTCCACTGTCCACATGATAGATTTCCTTACCTCAATAGTCGTGAACTTTAACGATTAATATCTCGATTTGCAGGGCAGAGCGATGCTTTTTTCTGCCAGATTTTTTCGTTTTATGCAAGAACGTGTCGAATGAGTATAATTTCATCGATTTTTGAGGTGAACATCCTCTATTTGACCTTTAGCGATACACGTTTCGTATTTCAAAATGACGGCCAAAGTATGATTGACCGCCAAATTTTATTGTCAGATTCGTTTTCAGGAGCCAAAAATACATGGAAAAAATGTATTTGCATTAAAATTGTAGATGCTGTAGTTTTTCCGAAGTTTTACCAATTAATATTAATAAATACTGTTAATTACTATTAATTAATATTATTTCTTATTATATTTCACATGTCATAGAGAAATATTTGTTTACTAAGCGGCGCATTTTTTTATTTTGCCTCGAACACCAAAATGCCCAGTCCCAGCTCTGCGCATGAGCATATCCTTGTCTTTATACCATATTGATCAATTGTTTGGAGTTATCATGCGCATGAGCATACTCCTATCTTTTATATCATGGTATCGTATTGATCAATCAGTTCAAGCATTTTGTATTAAAGCAGAGAAGCCTGAGAGCGACCATGTCCGGGATTTAACTGTTAGGGCCTTAGCAGAATATGGCTGACTTATAATCTTAAGACAGTGTCTTATGACTTAAATCTTGTCTTTACTAAGCCCGGATCTACAATAAATTTGTAAGCCTTAAGTCATAAGAAATGGATGAATCACAATTGTGTATTGTGTACTCTATTGTGTTTGTGAGGTTACGCACAAGACTGTCTTAGATTACAAGTCAAGCCCAGGGCACATACAAAAACGTAAGGCCGTAACACGTAAGTAGTAAAGAAATTGTAAGATTAGATTCGCTACTTATGGCCTTATGGTCTCTATCGTGATTGGCCAATTCGCTTACTGATTATGTCTTATGCCCTTACGTTTTTGTATGTGCCATGGGCTTCAGCCTTTCTGCTATGGTCCTTACTTTATTTTGAAACACCTCTATATACACAAAATTGAACTACGTAGTCAATATGATCCGTCGGTAATGTCATGGATTTTTTGGTTTTATTCTATGCTATATCCATGAATTTCCATTATATAAACAAAGATAGACAATCAATCTGTCGACACTTGTTCCACTATTGAGCAGATAAATGTGTAAAGTCCGACCGAAATTTCGGTTTCAGTCAGTTTCGGTAAAAAATCAGGGTTTCAGTTTGATTTCGGTTTTGGTCGAAATTAAGAGAAAATTTCGATAGGTAAACCGAAACTGTACAAGTTGCAACGCACCGGTGAGCGTTTAAAAAACAACTATTCGATTTTAATTATGAACTCGTTGATTGAGCTTAAGACAATTTGAGTACAAACTTATGATTCTAATGATAACTGTGATTTGATTTCTTTAAAAGTTGAGGATGCAATATTATTATATTATAATAGTTAAATATTTTAATAAAATCTTGTTTTTTAAGAGTACAATACATTTTTAAGAGTACATAAATTTGTCATGGTTTCTGAAAATCATATGGTCTCTGTAAAATTAATAAAAAAAATGTCTATTTCGACTCCGGCCGAAAAAATGTAACTGCATTAGCTTCTCTCTCTCTCTCTCTCTCTCTCTCTCTCTCTCTCTCTCTCTCTCTCTCTCTCAGTAAGACTTATCTAAGTTTCGGTTTCGGTTTCATTTCCGGCGGAAATTGAATGACAACCGAATATTTGTTTTCAGTTTCGGCCAGAGTGGAGGTCAAAATATGATTTCGGTCGGACTCTAGAAATTTGTGACGAATTTGCCGTAATATACATCATAGTTCGGTAGATGATGATACAAAAATGTCTTCATTTGTTACCGCTTGAAACCATTATTAATTCGTTATTTATTAGATAAACATGAAGGAAACTCAAGTATGAACAAGATTGGTTTTTTTGACATAAACTATCACTAGAAATAAACGCTAGCAGGTAACATATTAGGAAAAAAGTAAAAATATTTTTTGCTTTTTTCCTAATATATTACCTGCTAGCGTTTATTTCTAGTGATAGTTTATGTCAAAAAAACCAATCTTGTTCATACTTGAGTTTCCTTCATGTTTATCTAATAAATAACGAATTAATAACAGTTTCAAGCGGTAACAAATGAAAACCATTTTTGCCGACTATACGATGCATATCCACGCATCTGATCTGCATCGCTAAGTCGGTAATTACCGTGTACAGTCGATAATTTTCTCATAGTAAAAAACTGGTTCAATTACTCTGATTTACCCTGTATATAAAATATTAGTTGTACAAGTATGACTTTACGAATTTTTTAATAAAAAAACGTATTGATTTAACATAACATAAATCATTCTTACTTTATTCAAAGTATGCTCTATCGAAAGCCACAACTTTGGCCTACCTTTCAGGCAATAAACGGATTCCACGCTGGTAGAAGTTTGAATATTTTGAAGCGATTCAATTATCAAGCCAATTTTTTATTTCTTCATAAGATCTAAAGAAAGGGCTGAAGCTATGGGACCGGAACAAATAATAATCTGAGAGAGCAATGTCTGGTGAATACGGCGGGTAAGGTAGAATCTCCCAGTTCACTCTTTCTAGATATTCTTGACGGATTCATGAACATATGGTCTGGCGTTGTCATGCTATAAAATTATCTTGTCATGTCTGTTCTCCCATTCCGGTCATTTTTCCTTCACAACTCGGTTCAAACATATTAATTGTAGTCGGTACTGTTCACCAGGGATAGTTTCAAACGTTTGACATGCATCTTTGTCAAGTAATGCTTCCAATTGTGCATTTTCAAATTTTTTTCGGTGGCTTTCCATGCTCTTTATCATCCAAATCAAAATCATTGCTTCTAAATCGTTTAAACCATTTTCCACACATGCTTATCGATAGAGCATGTTCTTTGTAAGCTTCCACAAGTAAACGATAATTTTCAGCTGCACTTTTCTTTAGAAAAAAATAATGAAGTAAAACTTCCCGTAAATGGCGTTTTTCCGGTACAAAATTTGATATTTTCGATGCGATAAAAATAATAGTTGTTTACACTTTAGTCAAATGAAATATACTACATTTTAAAGCTGCGTATACACCTTTCAAGTACATGTATTGCCAACTTTAAATAATGCAGCAGTATGACTATACCGCCATCTATGAAAAATCCGTAAAGTCATACTTGCACACCTAATATTTAAAATATTCTCTTCCCATATGTCTTTCTTTCTTGTGTAAAATTGTTTAGTTTAATAAAAATGCAATAATAATAAGAGAACATGAAACATAATTACAAGAATAATTTTTTCATTGTTTCTTTTAAAAAAAATTGCTCCTATATAATTATGTATAATTTTAAATAAATACAATTATATGTATGCCATTCTTTTACATTTGTTTAAACATGATTTTTTCTGAAACAAAAAATGCGTAAATCATCCT